TATGAATAATTGAAAATTTTTATGCGAATTTTATTTTATTTCATTCCATTCCCTCCATTTTACTTTTTCTGCTCCAGAATCCCATGCAGGGTATGACATAACATTTAGCCATCCTGTCTCTAGGCTTTCCTTGGCTTTGGCAGTGTACCAATGAACTTGGAAGTGTAGAGAGGGGGCCAGTCAGGTCTTTGGTATCATTGGGATGTACTTGGTGTTTTCCCATGGTTAGACTGGTGGCATGAATTTTGAGGAAGCAGATTACAGGTAAAGTACATTCTCATCCCTTTATACGAAGAGAATGTGTTCTTGAGGCCCCTTGTGCCTGTTAAGTTTGGTTTCTGGCTGAAGTAGTGTTTTTCAGGTTTCTCCACTGGGAAGTTACCTTTTCCATATTCATTCTGTGTGTCTTCTTTAGGAGGAAGACACTATACAGAGCCCACACCTCAGGGGAGTTAGGTTCACCCCTGTGGTGGATGGCAAAGAGTCCATATCAGTTATTTGGAATGGCTCTGCAGAGGAGAGGTCTGTTCAGCTCTATTTATTTACAAAAAAACATGTACTAATTTCATGTTACCAGTGTGGACACTTGGATCGTTATTTTAGGTTTTTAGTGATACCCCAGTGCTATGGCGTTTGGTTGCTCAGTCTGCCTGCTCTCGCTGTGGTGAGCTCTTCCCACTGGCTTGTTTTCATTCACATATTCAATCTTTGTGTGGTTTTTCTTTTGTGGGGGGTGTACTTCCCTACCTCATGATACTTCAGTATTACGGTAGGGACTATATTCACTGTCTCAGTCCTAGAATTGGCCATTTCTTCAAAGTGCCCTCTTTTTATAGAGAAGAGTATTAAAAACCCATATGTGGGAGCTAAATGTTCTCAGTGGACAATGCAGGTGTGTGTGTGTGTCACACTCTGGGGTGTCAACCTGGAAAGAAAGAGCTGCAAATAGAGGCAATGTAGAACTTACTTGGGGTACAAGAATTTCTATTTGGAAAACAGAGATTCATGCAGGTACCCAGTGTTCCCACTTGTAAGGTGAAAACAAGGGATTTTATGAGGTAAAGGAAGGGGAGGGCAGTTACATGAGCTAGGAGAAAAGTTTTCCATGGGTATTTCAACAAGCTGATCTACTCTGGGTTATACGTTGACCACTGACTCTCTCTTCTGGAAGTCCACATCCATCAAATTGGTGATGGGATGTACCTCCCCCTGCTGACCACTCAAACAACTGCTGTTTTGCCCAGTCCAAAGGTTTTGGCCCAGGTTAGACAAAGCTGGGTGAGGCAGTTTCTCTTCAGTGGCCACTCTGCCTCCATTCTGACATGGCTCCAGTAAAGTTCATATTTCAAAATGTATACGGCACCTAATTATAAAGATTTCTGTGTGGAGCTTCCCATATCTACATTAAGCTACACATGCATTTGTACTGATGTCTCCAACCTGATCCATGATCACACAGATATTGTAACCTTCTCCCCTTGCTTACTTTTAACTTCTCCTCCAATAGGGAGAAACCTGGCTCCTACTATCTGTCACTTACTTAACCCACTGCTCATTCCAGATTACAGATGTAGTGGTTTCAGGATGGTAACTGAGGACGCCCATGGAAATAGCTAATAAAACAGAGTCCGCTGTCTGTGTACAGTACATTCTCCCTTCAGTCTACAGATTCTCCTCATTTCCCAGTGTCCTCTGGTCAGCACCTTTTGTCTCACTGTCAAGAGTGAGATTCTTTCTTCATAAATTTCTAATACAGTTAGATTCTTTGTTACATTTTTTTATTCCATCCTGTGACATTCTCACATCCTACATAACTTAATTTGAACAGATTGTGATTTAATCATTGGGCCCTAAGAGTCTATAGGTTTAGACAAATGCATAGTGGCCAGTGTCCCTCACTAGAGTGTGTCATGGGGTACTCCAAATTCCCCACCCCATGTCCATTTACCACCTCTGTAGTTGTGCCCCATCCAGAGCGCCATATTAATGGGGTCCCACAGTGTGTGTGGCCTGTTCAGATTGGCTCCTTTCACTTAGCATTATAGAAATAGACTCACCACATCTCTGCATGGGTTGGTGGTTCCTTCCTCTCTGTTGCTGAATAGTATTCCATTGCTTCTGTAGTGGAGGGGAGAATAATTTCCCCCTGCCCTTCTAGGTCCCTGCCTGAGACAGCTGCTCCTCCTGCCCAGAATTAAAGAAATCTTAACAGGAGAAAAACAGAAATGTAATAACATGTATACATCCTGCATGCATGGGAGATGTCCTGCCTTATCCTATTTCTTTTCAGGTCTCATGCTGAGATCACCTCCTCTCTAGTTCTCTCTTGTCACCTGCCACTGCCACACCAGAATTCTTCCTGCTTCCAGCTACTGCCATCATGTTTTTTGCTTGCCACCTTCCCTCTGGGCCCCTCCAGGCCCATGGCCCCACTTCTGAACTAAATTCCTTCCTGCTACAGAATTGTCAGTCCATTTCATCCCTAACTGCATACACTTGCCAGGATCTCTTTTTAGACCAAGTGTACATCCTTGCCTCTTAACTTAGGGCTCAGCCATGTGACTCACTTTGCCCATGGCAGAGACAAGGTGACAGTTCTGAGCCTAGACCTTAAAAGGCCTTGTGTGGTTACACTTGCTTTCTTCTCTTTTGCCATTGCCAAGAGAAAATCATGCCCAGTAGCCCAGTGATTCCAGGAGGAGGACAAAAGACTCATGGAGTAGGCTCAAATCTTCAGATCGCCCTCATCAAGCCACAAACTCAAGAGCAAAAATAAACAACTTTTGTCCAAAGGTATGGAGTTTCGGAAAGGTTTGTAACACAGTTTCTTTATGACAATCCAACCGCTCATTCTCTGAGAAAAGATCTGATTGGATCATTTGGTCACCACCCAGAACACAGCTCCTTTCAATTGAATTACCCAAAGCTGAGGACCTCCTTCCCCTCCAGTCTGTAGATGGCTGCCTTGGGCCGGGGTATCCTCCTCTGATCCAGGCAATTGTACTGTAATTATAGCGTCATGTGACACAAAGCCTGGGGACTCATCTGGAAAAGAATCATTTCTGACCCCTGGGTGCAGAAGGGCTATGAATGTGGCAGAGACAAGAGTTTCTCAGACCTTCTGTGGTTCTAAAGAATGACTGCTGAACTGGGAGAAATCGTGCATAAAATTTTCCCTGTGTGTTGCAAAATGCGTCTCAGGTTATAAGCCCAGAGTACAAGAAATATGACATTTCTTACAACTCAGTTTAGCATCTGTGTTGAGTTTCAAGATGCCTAAGATGGAAAGGATGAGGCCCACGTTCACAAAGAAAGTTTTACTGAGCTAGGATATCTTGGCTTCCTCTACAGTTCCCCCTTTCCTGCCTAGTCCATCTCACTTTGGAAGGAGTCCCAGATCCCACCTCCAAACCAGTGGAACTGCTTCATCCCCCTGATCACCTAGGCTGTGCTTCCACACTTCACGGAGCACCCACTGCTTGGAAGATTTCTAAGCAACCCTTTCCTACTACAAGTTCCAACCTACCTCCCCGTGTCCTGTACCCACTGCCTGAGTTCTGTCTTCTAGCACTACACTAAATGTGTACTTGTTCTTCTTTAATTTATAAATATTGCTATACTTTTTACTTCTATAAATTCTATTTAGTTCTTTTTCAGATCTGCCATTTCAAATAGTGTATTTTTCCTGATGTCTTTGATTCCTTCTTGTATGACTTCAATTCTTTTCAAAATACTTTTTTGTTATCTTCATCTGAAATTCTTGGGGGAAAAAGGATCTAATCCTGCTGTGGATGGTGGCTGCTGACCTCACTTATGGTGGATGGTTTCCTTGTGTGTCTCGTAATTTTGGTTATGAGTTCATCTTCAAGGGAGCTTTATCTGTGGATAGATTGAGTGACCTGGGTTGAGGGCAAGTTCCTCCAAAATGAATTGAGTTTTGTTTTGCTAATCACCTCAGCTTTATCTGGGATCACTAAGTTAGTTCTTAATTTGGAGTTCCTATTTACTTAGTTCATGTGGATAGAGTAATTTTTTTTAAATCTACTTGAGAATAGATCTATTTCTTTTCATCATAATATCAATTTGATTATTGTGTCCATCCATTATGATGTCACCTTCAGGAAAGCAGGACCTTTTTCACTCTCATTTGGGACTATATCCCCAGTGCCTAGAATAGAACCTGGCATGCAATAGGTCCTCAATAAGTGTTTGTAGAAAGAGAGAATTAAGGAATTCCCACTTCATAGTGTGTTGTGAAGAATAAATGGTGTGTTCATTAAAACTCTGTTTGCCCACCTGTTGGTGATTCTATGACTAAGCGATTTCAAATGTCTCTGCAATTTTCTTGGACTTTGTCTTAAGGTTACAAGATGGTTCCAGTAGCTCCAGGTATCACATTCACATTCAAGGCAGAAGGAAAGTAAAAAAGTTAGGAGTAAAGGGGGAGCATCACCGATATTTTTCCTTTTATCAGGTAGGTAAAAGTTTTCCTAGATGTCTAACAGCAAAATTCTTCTTTGATCTTATTTGCTAAAAATGGGTTGCATAGCCATTGCAGAAGCGAGGGGACTTGGAAAGTGAGCATTTCCCTTTATCTGGGCTCTGTGGGAAGGTAAAGGAGAAAGGGGACTGGGGACACAGATTCAGTATCTGCCCCAAAAGAGATCATATATACACACACACATGTAAAGCACTTAGACAAAACAAGCCCTCAGAAAGGGGTACTTGTTCTCATATAGTTATCGTTGTTATCATTTAAATAAAGTATTGCAGCCTCTGTGATCCTGTTGGTATCAGATCCCGGCTTCTGGAACCTGCAGGCACTGAGGAACCCATAAGCAAATGGTCGTTCCCTCCCACCTTACTCTATTCAGAGCACTAAAGCCCTTTAAAAAAAAACAACTCATTTTCCAATGTGAGCCACTTCCTGCCCTCATTAACTCCATCCCCAGTGACTTGGCCAGACACTGCTCCCAACCTGAAGCAGTGGGTGGCTGTGCAAGTCAAAGGTCCTTCAGGCCTATCACCAGGTCAGCATCAAGGTATCTCCCAACGACACTGAGATGGAAACAGCAGAAGAGCCAGCCCTGAATCTTAGGCAGACCCTGGAGTGGCTGAGAAAAGAGCTGGTAAGGCTTTGCATTTCTTTTTACCTGGTGCCTCCACCCTCTGTCTTCCAAGGTTCCCTGGTCCCCCTCTTCAGTACTTCCTTGGCTGGGGCAGAGGCTGCAGGCTGGGGTGTAGGCGCTGCAGGAACCCCTCTGGGGCCAGCCATGAAGCGTAGTCACCATCTCGGGAGCTGGGATAAGTAGGTTGTGGCCTATATAGAAGGCTCTGGGTGTGGTGCTTGCCAGACTGGTTTTAGAATTATACCAAGTCCTGCGAACATACCCAGCTGTTTCCATGTGGCCTCTAGGGAGTGGCTTTCCCTCTTCCAGCCTCAGTTTCCTTGTCATAACATGGCTAACAATAGTACCAACATCACAGGGGCATTGTAAGCATTCAGTGAGAAAATGGGTGTAATTCACTTAGTGTCTGCTTGAAACATCTCTGTTGACCATTACATTCCTGGCCCAGGTGAACAGGAGTAACCCACTGTCTCAGCCTGGGTCCTCCAGACAGCAGAGGCTCACACAAGGATTAGGGTGACTTGTTTGGAGGTACAAGCCCAGAGTGGTGAGAGTGAAGAAGATAGGGAGTGGTGATAAGGGGCAGTGTCATGCCAGGTGACTCACTGTGCTACCACACTGACGGCCACTTTAGGAGCCCTGAAGAGGCCAGTGGCTCTCTCAGCAGCAGTTTACCTGGCTGCAGGACAGTCTGCAGGGGCTGAAGGAGGATCTGCACCTCAGGGGAGACAGGAAGAAGAGGAAATTAATCTGCCCAATGCACTTCTGTCTCCCACCTCCCATTGGTAAAGGTCCAACCCATGGGGACTACCTTTTCTGAACTTACAGGTCATGCTACTTGGTCCCTGGTAGCTGCTCAGGAAACCAGGCCTTATGCCTCTACTGTGATGTTTTCTCCAAGTCCAAAAGTAGGGGGATGGCCCAAAATGCTTGGGGACAGCAGCCAAAAGAGAGAAAGAAGTGGTTCAGAAATCTTGGAAGGTTCCTTCTATCCCAATAAGCTAGCTTTTTATTCTGGGAAGGGACAGGTGAGAATACTGAAAAATGACCTTCTGGGTTGCCGGATAACAGACCAGCTGGGACCCAGCCCCGTCCCCACCTCTGTGGGAGGGCTAACCCAGTGGGCATCTCATGGGACCTGCAGCTTCTTACAGTCCTCAGGGATCTGGAGGCTGGGCACTGGGCTTTCCCCGTGCTCCCCTAAACACTGGGCACCCATTCTGAGACTGCTTGGTGCCTGAACTCAACCAATTTCTACCTGATAAAGTACCTCTCTCTCACCCCAAAAGAGGGAAAACAAGACAGCGCTCGGGGAAGCCCACCTGGGGCACAGTCTCCAGGCCTGAGCACCTCCCTCCACATGATGCCAAGAGATGGGGTCCTTGAGTGTCTGCTTGCTGATCCCTGACTTGTACATTTCCCAGTTAAGTCTGCTTTTAACCTCTATCACATGGCACTCATGTGACTCCATAAAGACCCCTCTGGAGTCCAGCCAAGAAGCCCCACTTGACCATCAGGGAAGAACCGGCAGTAGACAGTCACTTCATGCAGCAAAAGGAACAACATCAGTAACACTAATGACTACTATGGACAAAAGTCCAGTGCTCTCCCTCCTCTCCTGGGCTCATGTAAGCCCCAAAGTCTGGTGGGATTGAAGGGAGGGCAGATAGTTGCAGCTGTCTTGTGACAAGGCAAACCAGTCTGATGACCAAGTGGCCTCTGTTTGGAAAGAGGAAGGAGCTACATACTGCAGAGCTTGAGCAAACTGAGCCCAGAGCCCACCTTTCCTCAGGACCTCTTGCCGTGTGACCCAGCGCACCTTCTTACTGTTGAAGCCCGTTTGGTTGGGGTTTCCAGCCCTCAAAGCCAAAGGCACTGAGTCCACTGCCTCCCTTACCACCTCTTCCATGCTGGGCACCTAGTGGCATCCTCACCAGCACACACCAGAGCTGGAGCTAAAGTATGGATGAAAAAAAAATGTGAAAAACCCTAAGACTAAGAAAATGCAGGCTTAACATTTTCTCAGGAATTAGGAAGGGCTGGCCCTGTACTCCCCCATCACAGCCTGGGAAATCCCAGCGCTTTCAGAGATGGTCTTGCACCTGCAAGGTTCCTCCTTCTATCTGCTCTCATGGTGGCTTTACTGCTGGAGAGGAGGGGATGGGCTTTATCTTCTCATTTGTAAAGTAATTCATGTCTTGTGAAATGAAAAGGCTACTCTTAATGGAGAAATAATGTTAATTATTATCTCTTGGGGTACAAGTGAGACAGACATGCAGACAGACAAATGGAGAATTAGTACAACTAATCAGGTGTGCCTGCACTAGCTCCTGAAGGGAAATCTACCATTCCCAGTGGTTACCCCTAGGGGAAGACACTGAATTGTTACCTAGAGTGAGATGAGCTGTGGGAAGCTGTTCCCTATATGCCCTTTGTTAACTTTTACATTTGGTATCATGCATAGGAATTACCTAGTGAGAAAAATTAAAACTTAACGTCTTAAAAGAGAAAGCAAAAGAGAGAAGATGTGTTGGGGCGGGGAGAGCAAAAATACTCCCTAGGAAAACTGGGAGAAAGAGTGGAGATGAGTGAGTGAGGACGGTACAGTTCTGAAGCAGCGGCTGTCAAAGTTTTTGGTCTTAGGACCTCTACTTCCTTAGAAGTCATTAAGGACACCAAAAAGCTCTGTTTATGTGAGTTATCTCTCTCAATGTTGACTGAGTTAGAAATCAAAACTGAGAAATTTTTAGCATTTATTTATTAATGCATTTAAAAATAACAGTGGTAAACTTAGTACATGTTAATAAAATAACTTTATTTAAAATAACTATATTTTTCAAAACAAATGTTTGATGAGAAGAGTGCACTGTTTTACACTGTTAGAAATCTCTGTAGTGTCTCCCTTAATAGAAAATGCTGGATTCTCCTATTTGTTTCTGCATGTAATCTGATGCCATGTCACATTATCATGTACCTTCTGGAAAACTCCACTGTATGCTCATAAGAAGATGAAGGACAAGGGCAAATAATATCTTAGTATTGTAAAGAAACTAGTTTTAATCTCTCTGGAAGAGTTTTTGGGACCCAAGGGTTTTCAGGACCTTCTGCTGACAATCACTGTCCCAAAGGACTCCTGCCTGCTCACAGGGTGTACTCCATTTTGTTTTAATATGAAGTCAATATCACCTTCAGCTTATAAAGTGATTTGTTTGTTACAGTGAATAGTAAAGCATATAGTTCAGCTGTAAATAATAATAGTTAATAATGATGATGATGATGATGAAGGTAATCACAGAGCTCAGAAGTTCAGCATGGGCTAATTCACTCGTCCGCATAAAAGCCTTGAAAGGTAAGCAGTTTGCTTTGCACTTTACAGATAAAGAACTGGAAGTTTTGGTGGACACATCTTCTGCGAGGTTGGGGGTGTGTCTGCAATGAGACAGTGATGGAAACAGGCTTTCTGAATAAAGGCCAGGCCCTCACAGACTTGTTCTCTCTCCTAGGGTGAAATGCAGGTCCAAGACCAGACACTCCTGCTCACGCTGAGGCATCTGCACAGTGTCCTGGAGGAACTGTGTGCTGAGAGGGCCCACTGGGAGGATGCCAGGTCCCCTGAAGGAACATCCCCCATCAGAGCTCGAGCAGGCTCAGAAGGCACAGGCCACCAGCCCACCTGCTCTAGGGGGCTGGCCCATCTCCTCCAAGAGGGAGACAGCAGACGAAGCTCCCTCCCTTAACTGGCCAGAGATGACCCTGGGCTTGAACCCTCCTACCACTGGTCTAAACTGTGATTGTGATGTTGCTGGGGGAGAGTACTGGAATGGGGGTCAGGTATCTAGGGCTCTGAGTTCTCCTCTGCCTTCATCCTCTTTGTGATCCTAGATTGGTCACTCAACTTCTCTGTATTACTGGTTCCTTTGCTGTTACTCATCAGAGTGTTTGCTGAGGCATAAATAAGGTGTCAGATGTAAATACAAACATGTTACATGCTTCTGGCAAGCACCAAGACTTGAGAGTTTCTCACAAGGTTATTGTTAAAACAAAGAAATAACTCAATGTGTGTGAGGATGTTTATCCGGTGTTGCCATGGTGAAGAACAGACACTACTCCCCAACTGCCACCCACCTCCACCCCAGCCCCCAGTGACCTGATGGTTTTTCTGTCTTCCCAGCAGGACTTCTCATGACTCTTTATCTGAAAGCACTGGTACCTGTCACCCCCTTGGCCAAAAGGATGGACATGTGAACCAGGCCTGGCCAATTATAATTCATGTCACTCTAACAAAGACATGACTAGCCCAATGGAAGGCATGTGACCCAACAGAGCCTATCACATCCTTCTCTGGGATTGCTGTCTGGATGCTCTTTTTACTGCATTTGCAAAGCAGGAGCTTCCAGTGACCTTGCTCCCTGCTGGGTGAAGAAGAACTGACTGTAGTAGGAAAGAAAGAGGCTAATCTTCGAAGAAAATTAGAAAGAGGGCAACACAAGAGATGAGCAGAGAGAAAGAGTGCTAGTGCTGGCTCTTTTTAGTCCCCAATTTCGGACCCTAGTTCTCTGAATTCCTCCTGCATTTCCAGTGACAAAAACCAGTAAATTCCACCTACCACCAAACAGCAATTTGTTTTTGCTTAAACTGATCTGAGTAGGGGTTTCCCTCATTTGCAACCAAATGATCCTGAGAAATACAGTCCAGGTGTTCAAAGAAGGAAAGAAAAGAAATGATCAGGAAAATGGCATTTCACTCATTCAGGGTTGGCAAAAACAACCCTGTAATAGCAGACAACATTTATGAGGTGGCAGAATACTCAATTGTATGGGGTGCTGAAGTCATAAACCTGAAAAATTATATCTGCCTGTAAGAGAGACTTTAAAATGGAACAGGCAAAAATTTAAAAAAATCCTCGTGTTGAGGTCCAATCAGTGATCATTTTATTTTTGAAAATCTACTTGCACATTGTTAGAATATTGTTTTTATGGCCTTGAAAAAGTAAAGCTATTGTGTACAGAGGCCAAGTGTGGGGGTAGTGCATTTATATGTACAATGTTCATAGCCAGACCAACCTGGGAATTTTATACAATATGTGATAATATAAAAAAATACTTCTCTATCAACAGCCAATAAACAAAATGTGGTATACACGTAAAATAGAATATCATTCAGCGTTCTAAAGAAAGGACATTCTGGCACATACTATAGCATGAGTGAACTTTGAAGACTTGAGGTTAAGTGAAGTAAGCCATCACAGAAGGACAAAAACTATATCATTCTACTTAAATGGGGTGCCTAGAGCAGTCAAATCCATAGATAGGAAGTAGAATGGTGGTTGCTAAGGGTCCTGCAAAGTTATTGTTTAATGAGTACACAGTTTTCAGTTTTGCAAGATGAAAAACGTTCTGTGGTTGGATGGTGGTGATGACCAAATAATGTGAATGCACTTGGTGTCACTGAACTGTACACTTAAAATAGTTAAAACAGTAACATTTTTGTTATGTTATATTTTACCACAATTAAAAATAAATACTTCAAAAAATACCTACTCTGTGATGCTGGGGTTGGAACCCCACAAACCACATTTCTGTGTTACCAGCTGCTTCAGGTTAGATTTTATTAAACTTTGCCAAGAAGCAGAGTGGGTCTAGAGGGACACAGCAAGGCTGGAGGAGGGAAAGAGGACTTGCTTCTTCATCTGTGTTGTCTGTAGCGTCCTGCGGGCTTTCTGCTCATGAGCATTATCCGGCCGTGCTTCTTCACCCCACAGCAGCAATTCCTCCCTGTGACATCAGCCAGCAGCCCCTTCTCAAGGTTCTAGGTCCCAGCCCTGTGGTGCCTTTTCCCCAAGCTCAGAGACATCAGCATCTCCTCCCCAGAAGTCTGAGTTCCTTCCTTACCTGGTCCTCCTCTGAGCCCAGAGACATGAGCTCTAGCTGACTAGAGCTCCCTTCTCAAATATCTGAAGCATAGCTCTCCAGAGCTCCTCTACGTATTTAAATTTTAATAATCTCAGCCTCTTCTCTTTGTTCCCTCAGCCCTGGGGGTGGTAAATGCTTCCAGCAAGTTCATTATATATCTTAGAGCTCTTTTTATAACCTTTTCCCAGTTACCAACTTTATATCTAGCTAGCAATTCTTCATATTCTTTCTTTTAAAATAACTGGGGTGGTTTCTGCCTCCTGACTATCTCTGACTGACACTGTATTTTGCTATTATTACCAATGCTGCTGTAATCATTCATGTTCATGTTCCTTGGAGCATGAATATAAGAGTTTCTCTAGGGTCTATAAGAAGTGCTGAATCAGAGGTATGTAAATGCTCAAGTTTAGAAAAAACATGTTTTCCAAGTGGACCACTTACACACCCATGCAAGCAGTGTCTGACAGTTCTTGTTGCTCCGCATTCTCACCAACTCTTGGTACTATCAATCTTGTTAATTTTTGCCAATATAATGGGTGCAAAATGGATATTACATTGGGATCTTAACCTGGATTGTCCTGATTACAAATGTGCATGTCAACCTGAGTTTTAATTCCAGCTCTACCATTTATTTACTTTTTTGGTCTTATATAAACTACTTGACTTCTCTGATTCTCAGTTACCTCATCTGTGAAAAAAAAGGGGGGGATAAGAATAGTATCTACCTCATGGGATTATTTTATAGATTAAATGGGATAATGTATAAATCACTTTACATAGCACTTGGCAATGGAAAGGATAATAAGTTGAAGCTTATTATTATTACTGTGTGTGATTATATACTGATTTGTGAAACTATGAGTATTAAAAATAGACAAACTTGTGAGCAGCGATCATGGAAAGAGAGATCTGCCTGGCTATGAAATGTAGAAATGACACTAGTCTGCCATGCCCAACGCCAACCACCAGCACCCTCTGCTTCTCCCAGTTGCTCACAGATTGAACCCCAGACCGAAAACCTCTGCTGAGCCCCCTCACCCCTACCAATCTAGGAAGATTGACCTGAATCCCCTGAACCTGCCCCTCTGCTGAGGTACTTGTTGTTCTCCAAGACTCATATCTGCAAACAATGTTCAGTGCCTGATCCCAGGTCAGAGAAAACTCAAACTGGGCACAGTTGCTGGGGCATGGTGTGTGGGTAGTGGAAATGTCATCCTCAGCATGGATTTTAAGAAGTCTGAGCTAGAAGTCATGTATGTCCAGTACAACCAGTGAGCACCAGAGGCAGCATGTGGATCATGGTCTCAGGAAGGCAAATCTTGAGTTTTCTTTGCTAAAGTAGCGCAAGACTATACACACAAAGCTTGCATCCAAGTGTGAGGAGAGCCAAGGAGAGATGCAAAAAGGATTGATGAGATCAGAACCTAAAAAATTAGGGACAGAAACAAGAGTTCAAGATGTCATATCTACAGTAGGTCAGGGCAGGCAGCTCAGGATTTACATTGTGACTACTGAGAAATGATCAGAGGCTCATCTTTACCAGTGAGCTTTCAGTCCTGGGACTGGCATGACCCCTTACAGAGCCACCTGTGTTCTGGCTGTATAGTGCTGTGTGACAAACTACCCCCAAACTGCAACAACAATCATTTCATTATTGCAAGAACTATTCATTAGTGTAGATCATATTCCCCAGAGTTCTGGGGGTTGACTCAGCTCAGCTGGGTGGTTCTTGCTTTAGATCTCTCAAGTGGTCGCAGTCAGATGGTGGCTGTGGCTCCATTCACCTAAACGCTTATCTATATGTCTTACAGTGGACATTGGCTGTTGTCTGGGACCTTAGCTGAGGCTGTCAGCTAGAACACCTACACATGATCTCTCCATGTGGCCTGGGATTCCTCCTAGCATAGGGGCTAGATGCCAAAAACAAGCCAAGAGGAAGCTGTATAGCCATTATGGTCTAGCCTTGGAAATCACGCTATGTCATATTCACTGCATTCTATGCAATAGAAGCTAGGCACTAAAGCCAGCTCACATTTAAGGGGAAGAGAATTAGACCCCACCTCATGATGGGAGGGTGTCAAAGAATCAGCAAATATGTTTTAAAACCACTACACTACGTAAGGCTGGATATCTTTCTAGTGGGTCAGTGTGTTACGGAGAGGTGGGCTCAGCGCTGCTCCTGTTTCACTAAGCCAAAGTCATTTTCACTGGGCCAAAATCAAGGTGTTGGCCAGGCTGCATTCTCTCCAGAGGCACTAGAAGGGAAGCATTTCTGGCCTCTTATAGCTTCTGGTGGCTGCTGGCATTCCTTGACCTGAGGCCTCATCACTCCTGTCTCTACCTTTGTCTTCACGTGGCTTTCTCTTCTGTGTGTGTAAAATCTCCCTCTACCTTCCTCTTACTGAAAGTACATGTGATTGGATTTAAGGCCCACTCAGATAATCCAGGATCAGCTCCCATCTCAAGATCCTTAACTTAATCACATCTTCAAAGATGCAACCCCCCTTCCATATAAAGTAACTTTCACAAATTCCAGGGATTTGGATGTGGGGGTCATATTTCAGCCTACCACAATAGGTGATTAACAAAATCAGCAACATTTTCCTCTCATTCCTTCTGTAAATCATTCTCTGACCAAAGGGCAGGGCTAAGAAGAATTTTATATAGCTGGAGACTACCTTGGACTCTGTCAGAGAAAGACACATGCTTATTGAACATCTACTATGCACAGGCATCAAAACATATCATGTGACTATGAAGTATATATTAATATTCCTATTTGACAGAGGAGAAGATGGAGGCCCTGCAAGATTATACAAAATATATATTGGTCCCACCCACAGTTCCTGACACAGAGCTCTGGAAACCCTTGAAATTTCCTAAATGGTAAAAGC